GCGGCGGGAAATCTGGGCCGTGGGGGAGCTGTTCGGGCTGGGGTTGGGGCTTTGGGTTGGGGTGGTTGGGTTAAATGGGGAGAGGGTATTATGGTGAGGGTTTGGGTCGTCCTCCGCGGAGCAAGAAAGGCAAGATCAGTGGGTGAGACCGGATGAGCGTAGGGGAAGGAGTGCTCATCGAAAATCACATGACGGGAGACGATAATTTTGTGGGTACGAAGATCAAGGCAGCGGTATCCCCGTTGGTTAGACGGGTACCCGAGAAAGACACAGCAGGCGGAACGAGGGGCGAGTTTGTGGGGTGCTGTAGTAGATAAGTTGGGATAGCAAAGACATCCAAAGACACGGAGGTGAGAGTATGTGGGTTTGTGACCATAGAGGGCTTCGTGTGGGGTGCGATTTTGGAGAGTCGTGGTGGGTAAGATGTTGAAGAGATGAGAGGCCATATATAGAGCTTCAACCCAGAAGGTAGGTGGGAGTTGAGCTTGGAATAAAAGAGAGCGAATGGAATTGTTTATAGTGCGAATAGTACGTTCTGCCCGTCCATTTTGTTGACTGGTGTGGGGACAGGAGAAACGGAAAAGAATGCCCAGGGATTCAAAAATATTTTGGAGGGGCCTGTTTCTATATTCAGTACCATTGTCACATTGCACAGTTTTAATAGTAGTGTTAAACTGGTTTGTCACAAAGGATGTAAATGAATGAAGATGGGAACAAGCTTCAGATTTACTTCTAAGAGGAAACACCCATAAAAAATGAGAATAATCATCTAAGAGTAACATGTAATGTTTAAAACTAGTAACACTAGTAACAGGCGATTGCCACAAATCAGTATGTAAAAACTGGAAAGGAAAAGTGGAAATACGACTCGATGACTCAAACGGGAGACGAACATGTTTTCCCAACTGACAAGCATGACAGATTGATATTTGTAAATGTTTAAAACAAATAGCAGACGCGAGACAAGGGACTCCACGGAGAACAGCCAGACTTGGGTGACCAAGTCGACGATGCCAGAGCTCTGGACTTTCACTGGCAACGTGGGCTTGTGCTTGGGCATGGGTGGCGGCTGGTAGGCTCATTTGGTAGAGAGGACCCGCATTATTGGACCGATGAATCACGGTTCCTGTCAGCATATCCTTCACAAAAAAACCAGTGGAATCAAATTTCATAGAACAATTGTTGTCACGGGTAAATTGCCTAACGGATATAAGGTTATGGATTATATGAGGGGAGACAAGGATGTTTTGTAAGTGGAGGGGGGGAAAAGTGGGAAAATTGTAATTACCGGTTGTCGTAGTGCGCACTTTAGAACCATTACCTACAGTGATATATGATGATGAATTTAAAGAATGATTACGAACATGAGAAAGAGTACCTGAGTCCAAGGCAATATGATGTGTGGCGCTGGTGTCCATGTACCAATTTGGATCGCGAAGGCTCAGGGTGTCAAAATTATGGGCGAGGGCAGTGGGTGTGATGGTGTTGGCATCGGCTGAGGGAGTTGTGGGTGAGGATGTCGGGTAGAGGGGGGGTTGTTGGGTAGGGGCTGGGGTATGGGTAGGGTGCACTGGCATGCAGGTAGGGTGTAGAAAAATAGGCCTGTGGGTATGGGTGGGGATTCGGTCGAGGGCCGAGGAGACCCGGGTTAGGGTTTGGGTTGGTGAATTGTCCGGTAATCAGCCCGTGGGTGTGCCGTGCATTCGACCCGGAGCTTCGGCCGCGACCACGGCCCCTCTGCTGTCCCCCCGCGTTGCCGGTTGTGCTGTGACTGCCCAGGACTGCCCCTTCCGCTGGAATCTGCCCGGCCTCCACCAGTGCTGCCGTACCGCCGTGAGTCACCACCGCCGGAACCACCGCTGCCGGCGTATAGAGCCGTGCCACTGTCCCCCATGGCCCCGCCAGTCCCCAGATCTGCCCGTTGTTGTTCGAGGAGGAGAAGGGCCGACCGGGATTGGAGAAAAGTAGGGGGCGGCGTTTGATATTGGAGGAAGGACGTTTGACCACGAAGGTCATCCGGTAACCCACGAAGAACTTGGAGAACGAGCTGTTGTTCAGACACGGTGGAATCCACATCATCCAACCAATCCGTTAGGTTACGAAGGGTTTGGCAATAGGCGGCCATAGAGAGAGACCCCTTCGTGGTGGTGCGGAATTGGTGTTCAAGTTGCATAGCCCGAGCCGCTTTATTGTTGTGAAAGAGATTATAGATAGACTTCCATAATTCCGAGGCCGATTTGGTAGTGGAAAGCACAAGATCACACACTTCATCATTCACCGTAGATAAGATCCATCCTTGAATGAGGGCGTCAAGTTGGAACCATTCGTCGTCATCGTCACTCGACGGTGACGATTTGCCGGTGAGAAACCCACCCAAAGAGAACCGGCGAATGAGGAGGAGGAAAAGCCGACTCCACTTCTTGTAGTTTGGCTCGGAGAAGCTGAGAAGAATCGGAACATGTAGCTTTACATTGGAAATAGTGGTGAAAGCCAAGTGGGGAGTCGGAGAGGAGGTTTCCGAGCCGGTAACGGGGGTTTTCTCGGACATGGTGTTGCCGGAGGAGAGAGAACTGCGCCTGTCGAAAGAGAGAGAGAGTTGCGCCTGCAGAGGCAGAGACACTGCAGGTATGGGAGCTGCGCTTCTGCCGATGACGTGCGGCGCTGCAGGAGAGGGGTGGCGGAACTAGGGTTCGGCCAAAGGAGAAGGTGGCGCAGCTAGGGTTTGGTCGAGAGAGACGAAGGCTCTGATACCATGAAGAATTATTATTTTCTATGTGTATTACGGAGGGCTAAGCCTCGTATATATAATATATGAGAATCCTAACTACGGAAGGAATCCTATACAAGGAAACTACCATGTATACAATGATTACACAATTAATACTAAATATATATATAATATATTTAACAACGACGATAGACAAAAAAAGTGTGATCAGCATGGGATTGACGAGAGCCATAACTCCGTAATGCCAAACGCAATTTAGAAAACTCATTGCGAGGGGATAGCCGAAGACCATAAAGTAACTTACGAAGGCGACACGCTTTCTCAGGGTAAAGATGGGTATAACCAGGAGGAGTCTTCATATACATTTCATCGGTAAGTTCCCTATGCATGAAGGCATTATTAATATCCAATTGATCAACTTGCCATCCCCTAGCAACGGCAACAGACAATAATACACGAACAGTGGCTAAATTGGCTACCGGGGCAAAAGTATGAGTAAAGTCAATACCGAATTCTTGATGATTACCAAGCACAATTAACTGAGCCTTGTCGCATTCCTTGGTACCATCAGATATATATTTGGTCTTGTATACCTACTGACACCCCAAAACTCTCCGATTCAGAGGAAGATTTGTAATCTCCCAAGTATGATTACGTTCCAAGGTGTTGAATGATCAATGCTTATTTTTTCTTACTTTATAATCACAAATCTATAACGTTTCAGAGTAACAAGAATTGTATCTACCTAATAAACGTTAATTTGTGAATAGGGTGGCAAAATGAAGAAACATTTGAAAAGAACACAAATTTCAATGAAATGCGAAGGGATTCGATGCGCTAATCAATCGTCAAAACCTTTACTTCGGAATGTCGAATGGAAAGCGGGTGATTTAGGAAGCAAATTGTGCCAAAAGTCTTGAAGAACTCTAATCCGGCGAAGGGCAAGTTTGACCTGGGCCGGTTTAGCATTCTAAAGGCACAAGAAGGCTACTAAGCTCTAATCCGACAAAGGGTAAGTTTGAACTGGGCTGAATTAGCATTCTAAAGATGCAAAAAAAGCTACTGAGCCCTAATCCGGCAAAGGGCAATGTTGACCTGCGACCGATTACGCATTATCCTGCAGATAATTAAAATCATCCCGCCACGTTCCTTTGCCAAAACAACACCTGACATTTCCGTTGGAGCGGAGAATCGATGAGAGAAACGCCCCAAATCTTCCCCAACGTTCATCTAAGGTGAAAGACCATAAATTGGAGATTAATTCCTTGCTTTTGGGACATCCATCATCACCCCCAACTATCCTGCTCTCAAATTTCTCCACCCCTTTCGTGTTCTTGTTCAAGCTTAGAGGAGAGGGCTAGGGTTCCACATTCGACCTCGAATTTCGGCTTGCTCCGTGTAATCTCTTCTCCTATTTCTTTGTAATGTATTCCATTGTGTTGTTTGGTTCTTTATTCAATATCATTGCAGTTTATTCTTCTTGTTATCATTGTGCTTTGATTATGGTGGCCACATATGATTAGCGTTATTTTTGGGATTTTATGATGGAACTAGTGTTGAAGCATAATCCGTGCTCAAGAAGAATAGACGTTTAGCCGAGTTGGGATATAGATATACCCAACTCCTAGACGGTGCCCCTTTTTGAAGTTTTGAGCGTTAATGGGGTTGGCTCTAGATGTATGCAAGACGTAACGGTACTTGCACGAAGATGCCAATTACCCTTTTGTTTCCTTAATCGGAACGAGAGGTACCTTTGTGACTCCGCACTTGCAATAGTTGAATGAAGTTTCTTAGTTTTAGTAGATATTATAATTGGCTAGTCCCGAACTCCTCGCTACCTCATCTCTTTCTCTAATTTCCTGCATTTTTACACTCCTTCACACACCTCTTTAAAACACAACTTAATTGCCAAGTCCCTGTGGAAATCGACCCGGTCTTACCAGTTTTATTACTACATCAGGCTTTTGTATACTTGCAAAATACCCCCGATCAAGTTTTTGGCGCCGTTGCCGGGGACTTGGTCCAATTTGTTGTGTTTTATTTCGTCAAAAAATCCTGCATTTTTCTTCTTTACCACTGCATTTTCTCTTTGTTTTGTGTAGGAATCTCCGAGTTTTATGCGATTGAGAAGTCAAGGTTCTCACAATCTTGGCACATTTGACTCGGAGATAGAAAGAACCGTTCGTACGATTAGAAGAATCCAAAGAATGGATGGTGACAACCGCGAAGTTGAGCGACAAAATGACAATCGAAGACGAGAAGAGCGTCCCCCACCCGCTCTCACTCTTAATCAAAGAAAGAGACCGGTGGTTCCCGACACTCTTCTTGCATCGTGCTCTCAAATGCGGCTAGAGATTATGAAGTGAAGAATGGATATATCAACGGGCTCCCTCAATTCCATGGGAACCCTGGTGAAAATCCACCTTCCTTCATCGCGGAGTTCTACGCATTTCTCCAAGGCATTCCGAGACATGGCCTCTCCGACGATGATCTCAAGATGCGTTTCTTCGCATACACCTTGTGAGGGAACGCTAAGGCGTGGTTTCTTGAGCAAACAGCATGAGCCTATGCAACGTGGAATGCTATGTATGACGCTTTAACCTTCAAGTTCTACACTCCGGATATGACTCAAGACCTCCGAAAGCAAATCTACTCCTTCCGGCTCAAACCCGGAGAGACATTTTAAGAAGCATGGAGGAGATACAAAGCCTTGCTTCGAAGTTGCCCGCACCACCGGATTCCACTTGACCTTTAAGTGGATTTCTTTTATCAAGGAATAAGTCCTCAATTCCAAGCCATCATCAACAACCGTTGTGATGGCTATATGGGAAATCGAACGGAGGAAGAACTTTGGGAAATCATTGAGTCTATCGCTTCAAATCCTCAACTCCGAACTGGTGACAATATAGCCTCAATCAATGAGGTTGATCTCAACAATATGTTTGACCGGAGGATGGCGGAGTTGAAGTCTACAATGCAAAGTGAACTGCAAAGTGCACTCCGAGCGGTCTTGGGAAACCAAGGCCCAAGCCAAGTCAACCAAGTAGGCACTCTTGATGGTCCTACCACCGAGATTGAAGATGTGAACTACATGGGTTCCTACGGGAAGCCCCAACGCAACAATTATTCTCAAAATCAACGTTGGGGTAACTCAAATTGGAACGCTCAAGGAGGAAGTAACAATGCTCCAGTTTTGCCCCCCGGAGTCTCAAGAAGCTATGAGCCGAGGAAGGAGGAACCATCATCATCTTCCGAGGATCCCATCAAGTTGCTCACCAAACAAATTGCCAAATTTCAATGAACAATTGAGCAAAATCAAGCTAGCACAGAGACTGCCATAAGCAATCTTCATAGTCAATTCACAAAACTTGACATGAAGCTTAATCAAAGGATGGATACATTGGAGCAATACACGAAGACTTCTATACACAATTTGGAAGTTCAAATGGGCAATTAGCCACGAGAAGGTCTCAAAGAGAACAAGGCCGACTTCCGAGCACCACAGAGGTAAACCCAAGGGAGAATGCTATGGCTATTTCTCTCAAGAGTGGAAAGCAACTAAAGGAGCCCGAAGCGCGGACCCAAAGCATTTCAAATGAAGAAGAGAGTACCTCGGAAGGGAGCACCAAAACAGCCCCCGTCCCCCCGAGGTGCATCCTGATTCTTATGTTCCGGCAATTCCTTATCCTCAATGTTTGAGGAAGAAGGCAAACCCGGAGAAATACAAGAAGTTAATGGAGATGTTCACCAAACTAATCATCAATATTCCTTTCGCGGAGGCTATTAAGGAGATACCCTCGTATGCAAAATTTCTTAAGGGTGTCCTCCCAAACAAGAAGAAGCTAGGTGAATTTGCCATGGTAGCACTAACGGAGGAGTGTAGTGCTATCATTCAAAATAAACTACCTCCAAAACTTAGTGACCTGGGCAACTTTACTGTGCCATGCTCCATTAGGAAGATTGGAGAAATACGTTGCTTGTGTGACCTTGGAGCAAGCATAAATCTTATGCCACATTCCCTCTTCAATAAGCTAAGTGTGGGGGAACTCCAACCCACCACGGTGGCACTACAATTGGCGGATAGATCAATTCGCTATCCTATTGGAGTAATGGAGGATGTTCTTGTGAAGGTTGGGAAATTCTATTTTCCCGCGGATTTCCTTGTGCTTGACATGGAAGAAATGGAAGTGCCCATCATCCTTGGGCGTTCCTTCCTAGCTACCGCTGCCGCCATCATTGATGTGAAATCCGGAGTTGTCAAATTCTGGGTGGGAAATGAAGAACAAGAATTTCATGTGTGGGATTCTTTGAAGATGCATCATGATGACACATGCTATCGAGTTGATGTCATTGATTCTCTAGCTCAAGAGGTATTCGATTATGAATTTCTTGATGACCCTCTTGAAACATGTCTTATGCTTGGGTGCACGGAGGACGTAGAAAATGTCGAGCTTCGCCAACGAGCCATGTATCTCCATTGAAATGGCTACTACCACAAACTGCAACCAAAGTTTGAAGATCTTGGTGCTCGGAAATCTACTCTGCGCCCATCAAAAGAGGTACCACCAAAGCCAACTCTCAAACCCCTCCCTACTCATCTTAAATATGCCTTTTTGGGAGAAGAGTCCACTTTCCCGGTTGTCATTTCATCCGCCCTTACTCAAGTTCAAGAAGAAAAATTATTGAGAATTTTGAGGGAACATAAAGAGGCCATTGCTTGGTCTTTGGCGGATATTTAAGGGATAAACCCTTCTCTTTGTATGCATCGAATTCTCATGGAGGAAAATCACAAGCCAACCATTGAGCATCAAAGAAGGCTAAATCCTAACATGAAGGAAGTGGTCAAAGAAGAGGTACTCAAACTACTTGATTATGGCATTATCTACCCGATCTCGGATAATGCCTATGTGAGCCCGATGCAAGTTGTCCCAAAGAAAGGTGGGATGACTGTGGTGACAAATAGCAGGAGCGAGTTAATTCCGAATCGAATCGTCACAGGGTGGCAAATGTGCACTGACTACCGGAAGCTCAAGAATGGTACCCGGAAGGGTCATTACCCTCTTCCCTTCATTGATGAGATGCTTGAACGAGTGGCGGGTCATTAATACTATTGCTTTCTAGATGGTTTCTCCGGCTATTTTCAAATAGCCATTGCTCCAGAAGATCAAGAGAAGACTACATTCATGTGTCCCTATGGGACATTTGCTTACCGGAGGATGCCATTTGGTCTATGCAATGCTTCCGGCACATTTCAAAGATGTTTTACCTCCATTTTTACGGACTTAATCAGAGATATGATGGAGGTTTTCATGGACGACTTTTCGGTCTATGGAGACTCGTTCGATATGTGCCTTGAACATTTGAAGAAAGTCCTTATTAGGTGCAAAGAAACAAACCTTGCACTTAATTGGGAAAAATGCCACTTCATGGTTGCCGAGGGCATAGTTCCTAGGCATACAATCTCACCTCAAGGAATCGAAGTGGACCGAGCAAAAATTGAGGTTATTAAGAAGCTACCACCACCTCATTGTGTCAAAGCTGTTCGAAGCTTTCTTGGTCATGCCGATTTCTACTGGCGATTCATTAAAGATTTCTCGAAGATTTCCAAACCCTTGTGTGATCTTTTGGCCAAAGATGTGGAATTCAATTTCACCGATGAATGCCTCAAGGCATTCAACACTCTCAAGGAGGCACTCATCTCGGCTCCCATAATAACCTCTCCGGATTGGTCACCCCCATTTGAGCTCATGTGCGATGCAAGTAACTATGCACTTGGCATTGTTTTGGGCCAACGAAAGGAGAAAAAGTTGCATGTCATCTACTATGCTAGTCGGCTACTCCATGATGCTGAGCTCAATTATGCCACCACCAAAAAGGAATTTTTGGACGTTGTTTATGCTTGTGATAAATTCCGTTCTTATGTGATTGGCCAAAAACTCATTGTGTACACCAATCACTCCGCCATTAAATATCTCATGCAAAAGAAGGATGCCAAGCCAAGACTAATTCGTTGGGTCTTACTTCTTCAAGAATTTGATCTCGAGATAAAAGATAAGAAAGGAAGTGAGAATCTAGTGGCCGATCATCTTTCACGGATAGAGCACCACTCTTCTACTCAACCCGAAGTTATTCATGATGATTTTCCTCATGAGTTTATTATGAAGGTGGAAGGAGTGCACTTGCCATGGTTCTCGGACATTATAAACTATCTTGCTACGGGAATTGAACCACCGGAGCTCTCATCTTACCAAAAATCAAAGTTCTTTCGAGATGTGAAGAAATATTATTGGGATTATCCTTATCTATTCCGTCAATGTGCCGATGGGATTATTCGAAGGTGCATTCCAGATGAAGAGATGATGTCTATTCTCAATCATTGTCATACTCTACCTTGCGGAGGACATCATGGAGCTGACAAAACTGCTGCAAAAATTTTGCAATGCGGTTTTTATTGGCCTACCTTATTCAAGGATGCTAGGAGCTTTGTGCTAGCTTGTGACCGATGCCAACACACAGGTAATATCTCTCGCCGAAATGAAATGCCTTAGAACATGATTCTTGTTGTTGATATATTTGATGTTTGGGGGATAGACTTCATGGGTCCTTTCCCAAATTCATTTGGGAAAACCTTTATTCTTGTGGCGGTGGACTATGTCTCAAAATGGGTTGAAGCCGTCGCCTTGTCCGACAATAACGCCGCTTCAGTGGTGAAATTTGTGAAGCATAATATTTTTTCCCGTTTTGGCGTACCCCGGAGCATAATAAGTGATAATGGCACCCATTCCAAGAACTCATTATTCAAGAGTCTTTTGCACAAATATGGGTGCACTTTCAAGATTGGAGCCACTTACCACCCTCAAACGAATGGGCAAGTGGAGGTTTCGAACCGAGAAATCAAATTGATTCTTGAGAAGACGGTGAATACCTCGAGAAAGGATTGGTCCCTCAAGCTTGATGATGCTCTATGGGCATACCGAACGGCATACAAAACGCCGATTGGAATGTCTCCATACCGCCTAGTCTTCGGGAAAGCATGTCATCTTCCGGTCGAAATTGAACACAAGGCTTTGTGGGCGATCAAAAGGCTCAATTTGGATAAAAAACTTGCAGGACAAAGAAGACTACTCCACATGAATGAGCTTGAAGAATTAAGGCGAGATGCATACGAGAATTCTCGTATCTATAAGGAGAAGGCCAAGGCATGGCATGATAAGCAAATCATCCGAAAGGAGTTTTATATTGGTCAAAAAGTGCTGCTTTTCAATTCTAGGTTCAAACTATTTCCGGGAAAACTCAAATCCCAGTGGTCAGGACCATTCACCGTGACGGAAGTCACACCTTATGGAGCCGTAAAAATCCAAAAGGAGGATCAACCACCTTTTCTTGTAAATGGAAAACGCTTGAAGTCGTATCTTATGCACGGGTTAACCAAGGGAACATGCTCATCCAATCTCATCGACTAAAAGGGAGTATCGTCTGGCCTATGACGTTAAACTAAGCGCTAATTGGGAGGCAACCCAACATCCTTTCAATTTTATCAGTTTTTTTTATTGTTTTTCATTATGTGCCTTAGGTGTTTGAAGTATATCATGTTGGTAGGATTGCATAGATGTCAATGATTTTCAACTTTTTGGTAACCCAGACACTAATCCGGCGCAGGGCACCATTGACCTTCGCCGGTTTAGTGTCACGTTAGTCTCTAAACCCTATTGAGCTCTAATCCGGCGCAGGTCACCATTGCCCTTTGCCGGTTTCTGTGTTTTTAATATCCATCTCCGTTTTCTCTGCGCGTTGCCTTCTTTCTCTTCTCGCCGTTTTCGTTCGTCTCTCTCGTTCATCTTCCTCCCGACCTCCTCGCCCAGGTAAGTCTCTTTCTCTCCCCTCCTTCTTCTTTCCTCCCTTTCTCTTCTCCTTTTTCTTCCCCCCTTCTTCCTTTTTCTCCCCC